GGGGGGGTCGGGGGAGCACAGTTTGGGGTCACTCCTTTAGGGTCGCCCCTTTAGGGTCACCCCTATCACTGCCCCCCCACCCCCAAAATCACCCACTGTTTTGGGGGCAGATCGCAGCGCAGCTTCAGGTGAATGCGGAGCCTGGGGGGACAGCGGGGCAGTGAGGGGGGGTCACCCCAATGGGGGGCACTGGGGGCATCAGGGGGAACGTATTGGGGGAACATGGGGGGGAAACATTGGGGGGCATTGGGGACTTAAAGGGGGACATTGGGGAGGAAATTTGGGGGGCACACGGGGGGCCCTGGTTGTCACCTCCCCACCGGGTCCCACTCCACGCTGGGCAGGAGGCGGAAGGGCAGCGGCACAGGAACGTCCTCAGCCAGCTGGTAGCGCATCAGGGTCACCTGGGGAGGGGCAGCCATGGGGGCTCTGTGTCGCACCCCCACCCCCCTGTACCCCCCAGCGCCCCATACCTCCCCCGGGCCCGGGGTCACCCGCAGGACTCGCTCCTGCTCGAACTCCTCCAGGTCCACGGAGCTGTGGAAGGCGACGGCAGCCAGGGGGAGGCGGCCATAGCCTGGAGGAGGGGGGTCAGAGGGGTCGGGGGGGCCAGGAGGGCCGGGGGGGTCGGAGGGGGGATGTGGGGGGTTTGGGGTGCTGTGGGGTCTCACCACGCTGCTCCTCCGTGCCCACACTCAGCTCCTCTGTCAGCCCCATGCGCAGCTCTGGGGGGGAGCAACACCCCACAGTCACCCACCGGACCACCACTCGCATCGCCCCTATGGACCGCCCCACCGCCCCGCTACCCCCATTGCCCCCCACTGCCCCCATTACCCCCCCATTGCCCCACACTGCCCCCATTACCCCCCCATTGCCCCCTCACCGCAGCCCCCAGGCACGAAGCTCTTCAGCCGGATCTCCCCCTGCACGTCCACCTTCAGGGGCGTCCCCTGCGTGGGGTGATGTGGGGTCACAGAGGGTCACGTGGGGTCCCACGATGCCCCCAGCCCCGTCCCCGCTCACATTGGCAGCAATGACGACCGTCAGGCGCTCCACCACGTCCACGAAGAGCTCACTGCGAGCGGGCTGCGGACAGCGGGGTGTGGGGTTGGTGCGGGGCTTTTATGGGGTCAATGTGGGGGTCCCTGTGGGGTCACTATGGGGGTCCCTGTGGGGTTTTTATGGGGTCAGTGTGAGGGGTCACTGTGGGGTCACCGCGGGGTTTTTGTGGGGTTGCTGAGGGTTACAGGTTAAGGGGGTCCTTGGGGTCCTTGGGGTCTTTGAGGGGTCCCCACCTGCTCGCCCCTGGGGGGCAGCACCGGGCGGTTGGTGATGGAGCCGGGCGCCACTTTGCTCTGCTGTGTCTCAGCGCCGAACTGCGGGGACAGCAGGAGGGGTTTGGGGTCGCGGCGGGGTCACGGCGGGGTCAAGGTGGGGCCAGACCCCCTCACCAGCCCCACGGAGCGGAGGTCCAGCAGGCTGAAGGCTTTGGTGGTCTCGGGTTCTCCGTGGGTCGCACTGCGCAGCACTTCGGTGGCGGTGGTCTGAATGTATCCGAAGTCCTGGGGGGGAAATCCGTGGGGCAGCAGCCTCATAGGGACAGCCCCATAGGGACGGCACCAGCCCCATAGGGACGGCACCAGCCCCACAGAACACCCCCAACCCTTTGGGATGTCCCCAGCCCCATAGCAGTGTCCTCAGCCCCTTGGGATGCCCACAGCCCCACAGAACACCCCCCACCCCATAGCGATGCCCCTCAGTTTCACGGGATCTCCCCAGCCCCACAGAGACCCCCAACCCCCCAGCTGCCCCACCACCATCTCTCCCAGCAGTTCGTGCACGAGGGCCACGTTGACGCCGACGCTCTTCTCGCTCAGAGTCCCGCAGTGCTCCCGCAGCAGCGTCACCAACCTGGCACCACAACTCCGCGTCACCCCACATCCCGCCCCACACCCCCACGGTGACCCCACGCCCCCCCCTCCCCTTTTTAACCCACCTGTTCAGGAACTCCACGAGGACGAAGGGCGAAGCGTCGGCCGTGGTGGTGACCCCCACGTAGAGCCCCCCGTGCCTCACGTGGACAAAGTGCCGCCCCTCCCGTGCCTGCACGGCGATCCCAACGTCCATCGGTGCCCACATGGGGTGACCCCACAGATGCACCCCCCCCCCCCCTCACGTGACCCTCACCATGAAGACGGGCGCTCGGTCCCCGGGCAGGGAGGTGACAGCGCGGTAAAAAGCGTCCGTGACGTCATCGCCGCCGTCCCCGCGGACTGTTTTTTTGGGGGGGTCAAGGAGCGACAACGGAAAAGGGGGGCGGGGTCGAGGGGGGAGGGGGGACGGGGAGCGTTTCGCAGGATACAGTTCCTGTACACCAGGCGGTCGCCCTTGGAGGACAGGATGAAGAGCTGGGAGATCATGGCGGGAGGATTGGCTGAAAATCCGCTTTTTCACCCCAATTCCGGACCCCACATTTCTCCCGTTGCGGTCCCTTTAACAAATCCGGAGTCTTCGTCGGAAGCGCCGGCGGTCACGTGACGGCAGCTTCCGGAAGAGCTGCTATTGGGCGAGGGGAAGAGGGGTGGGACTAAGGGCCCGCCGCGCGCCGCCATTGGTTGGAAAGCTCACGGGGAGGGCAGAGAGGCGCGGCCTGCGCGGTATTGGTCGATGGGGGTCACGTGGCGAGGGAATTTCGCGCCATTTTTGTGGAGCGGCGGGAAAGGCGGCGGCGAACGGACGGGACCGGGAAAAGAAATCGGGACCGAGCGGAGCGGCGCTCAGCGGCAGCGAGAATGGCGCCCCGTGACTATGAGGCGGAGAAAGGTGGGGGGAATAACGGGGAAGTGGAGGGAAATAGGGGAGGAATAGGGGGTAAATGAAAGCTGGGGGGGAAATGGGGGGCCATGTGGGGTCAGTGGGGCGGCGTGCGTCTC